CACAATGGGCTCAGGGGACTCAACCCAATAATTCACTTAGCTAAGCAAGTTATAATCTTGATGAGCTAGTTACAAAATTCAATGCACATCGTCACATCAACAATGGGTTCGAAACCGACCAAAAGTACAGTTTCTAAATTAAGCAACTGACATATGTGGAGAGCTAATGTCATAATTTATATGTTTGTCCTGCACACCGCCCCCCATCCAGTGGGCAGCGGTGGATGGATTATAATCACTTAGTTACTACCTATAATTAGCAAACTAGGGATATTTGGCCAAAATTTCTGAGATCCACCATTTTCTAAAATCTATTACTAATTTGGTTTGCTTTTACTAAATATCTATGAAACTTTTATATTTTATAAGTAATTTTATATATTTATTTTAATATTTAATATTAAGAATGTAATTTACTACTTTTAGTACTAAGAACTGTTTACTGTCAATATTATAGATAGTCCGGAACATTTTCTTGGATTTTTTTTTTTTGGTAGGAAAAAATATTTGAGTTATACCGATAATACCGCAGTGCAAATTTATCAAAGAAGATGTGTTTGTAGGAGAGACTATGTTTGTGAACATTATTCATATTTGGCAGAATTTACATGAGGGCTACTATCTCTCTTTAGTGGCTTCGACGAGGATAGGAAGCCGGCGGCTTGTCGAAAAACGTAATTTATAACCCTATGGGTGATAAAGTGTCTCCTCTTTTCTGTCTCACATTTTGACTTTTTAAGCTTTGAAACTGTTGCTCCTGTTGGTGTTACATCTGACCTTTTGAAGAGGTGATCCGGACCAACATCCTAGAAATTGTTCAATATTTTAAGTTTCGATGAGATCAGCCTTATCATATGTCGTTGCAGTGTTGTTAGTCTTGTGGCTGTTAATTGTTCCTGGTTTGGGAGAGGACTTAGTTCAGGAATGCTTTTTGTCGCCCGGTGTTGAACTTCCTCCGAATCAGATATGTCTTTCTGAAGATGAAGTCTCCATGCTTGGATACAATAAATTGATCTACACTGTGTAATCTTTCATATAGAATAGAGTAGCAGCACGTTGCTGTGTATACCTAATCTTGTTAAAAAAAATACAATAATATCACCTGAAATCTCGCACTAGAGATTTAAGCAGTCGAATAACTACCTTCTTTTTCATGAAATCAAAGTTATGTTTGATTTCAGGGAAAACCCAAATTCCCTGGATTTTTTTTACTGAAACTTTCAGGGATTTTTGGATTCTGACTTCAAGGTCCTTTTCTTCATCAATCTGCTGCAAGATACTGTCTTTGATTTCGTAGTTGTGATGTGCACTGTTATGTCCCAAATGCATCGTCTTGTATTTTTAGATATTAAAAAGCATCTGATAATCATCCGCCCATTTGTGGAGTTTATGTAGATCTCTTTGTAAGCCTTAATTTAATTTTCACTACCTATTTTACCATAAATCTTAGTGTCATCTGCAAATTTGATGATGTGCTTTTAAGGTGTTATACATATTGCCTTCTCCTACCATCCCCTTATGTATTTGTAATTATTTTATTTCATTTAAAACTATATTACACAAAATGGGTTACAATATTAATTACATGCAAAGTACCAAGTTGTCACTCACTGTCGAGTTCCTCAAGTTCCTCAGACATGAATGTAACGTGCGTTCCCCTTTTGTAGTCCACACTGAGTCGCTGGAAAAGGAAGCTGGCGGCTGTAGGGTCTCTTGTTTAGATTATATATGAACCCAGAGCCTTCAAAAACTTTTATCCCAGGTTACAAGTGTCTCCGAAGCAATGGGGACGAAATTGCAATGGTGCTCCAGATCTCTCGTTTTAAGAGTTGCTATTCATGAGTGGAGAGGGAACTCTACTCCACTCTGCTTATTCATACCTCTTCACTCTACTTATTCATACCCTAGTAGTCAAGCAAGTCCTCATCATGTAGGCACATTGACATATTGTTTATTCTCAAAAAATCCTAGTGTCATCTACAAAGGATGATACGGTACTATATATAGTGCCTTTGTATATATCTGATATGTGAATGAGAAAAAGTACTGGAACAAGCATAGTACTCCTTGGGACTGAGATTTTCACGGTGGATGATTCGGATTTTACTTTGTCAACTATTCGCGTTTTGTTTGTAAATAAATTGAAAAGCTATCTTCCTACTTTGCCAGTACTATAATAAGTTTTTGCACATTTTGAGTACATTAACACCATCATTATTTTTCTCGAAAGCTTTGGCGAAATCTGTGTATGTTACACCGGTGTTTTGCTTGTCTTCTATGTAATCCCAGGCCATGTCATAGTAAGGTCATAGTAAGAGGAAGGCGAGCCCTACTGTGAACCCATGTCGTCCAGGGTTATGTAACGTTGTCACACCAAGTGTCTTTGTACTCTTTCAAATTTTATGATATATGATTTTAGTAATATCAGTCTAGAAATATTTGCGTCTGCTTTTCAACTTCCTTTGTGGAGTGTTTCAATCTACCCTGTTTTAACACTAGTATCTAGCCTCCGTCTTCAAATGATGTTCAAGCCTGTGATAGTGGATTTTTGCAATTCTTAATTAATATAAAATTTATGCTTTTTCGGGAAATAAGTACTAGTACAATTTCAAAGGTTTTTTTCACTTTATTGTCTTAGGGTTTTGTACACATGAACATCATTCCTTGCGTACAATTAAAAATACATTTAGTGCATTATTAACCACATGTAATTAACCACTAAAGTATTAATTTTTCAATATCATCAATCACAGGAATATACATTCGTTATTAAAATCGTCTTTTTTTTTATAGATCCAGAAAGCATTAATGTCTATACTTTAGTTTTAGTTTTAGTTTAGAATACGATTTTGGAAAATCTATTCAAATTATTTCTCGTTAATGTGGCCTCGCTCGACCACAACCTGTGTCAACCTCGTCTCCTCCATCGCAAAACCAAGTCGACCATAATCAACAATCAACCCCTTGTCGACAGTCCTTTTTTTACCATAATGTGAGTTGACCCCCGCCTGCCCCGACTCATCGTAAGAGGCTCTGGTCAGCTGTGTCACCTCACTAGTAAGTTTTATCAGAGTTTTATCTGGGTAAACCACTTGAGCCAACAGCTCCGGTCCACCTGGGCCAAGATTCATCAAGTATCTAAGTGTCCACTTAAGACACCTGTATATCTCTACTCAATCATGGCGGCCCAGTTTACATTTAGCAGTTATTGACCTCTCCAGAACTTCACAACCCGAGGTTATTGTAGTTATAAACAATTTCGCAGTGCTTCGGAGTTTACACACAAAGACGCCATGATCAAATTAAGATGTACAGGTCTCGTAAGTTGTTGTGTAAATGCTTGAACCCTGGCATGATGAATGCTTGGGATACCACATAAATGCTGCATATCATTGTACATCCTTCCTCAATCATTATCACTTTGTATTTTGTAAGGTTTTGAGCTTGGGAACGGTGTAAGGTCGTTCTCGTCCCAAGGCTATTATTGTTATAAACGACCTTGACACTTGATGACAAAAAAAAAATTACTTTAAGAACACATCACAGTAACTCATCGACACGATAAGAGGACCCAGAAGTAATCCAAAACATTTGAGCGGTCCCCATGGCGTAGCGGTAAAGCACTCGCCTGGCGTTTCGCGAGCGCTTTAGCCTGGGTTCGTATCCAGGCCAGGGAGGATTTACTAGGCGCTAATCCTTAACTGTAGCCTCTGTTCACCCAGCAGTAAATTGGGTACCTGGTTGATAAGCGATTCGGCGGGTCGTATTCCGGGGAAAATTAGGATTAAGGACTTGCCCGAAAAGTTATGCGTGCTAGTGGTTGTACAAGAATGTAAGAACTCTTGTATATAAAAACAAAAAAAATTGTAATGCCATAAACAACCCACCATCACACCCAATGTACTCGTGACCCAACACGAGTCATGTATTGATATCACTACGGTGATATCGTTATAGACTGATATCACTAAAATCATATATAATAAAATGTGAAAGAGTACTAAGCCACTTGGTGTGACAACGATATATAACCCTGGACGACATGGGTTCAGAGTAGGGCTCGCTTTCCTCTTACTATGACCTGATCTTTAACATTGACCATTGCAGGACATGTGGTTCAAAAAATATGAATAGCTTACTCGATCAAATTTCTGTACATGAATCCTGCTTCGTGCGCTCTGCGGCAGTATATAAGTAGCCTCATGCCCCACCAACTAGATTACCCACTAAACTCAGACCACCTACTAGGCTAATCTATTTCATGTCTAAAACGCATTCTTCTATACTCACTTCACCCTTTAGTGATCTTTTATTATGTGAACCAATCAATCAGTGCTATTGTATAGCCTGATGATAACAAAGGCTTATTGAAACGTTGTAAAAAAATAAAAATGTTATGGTCATAGTCAATTGACAATATAACAACTCGTACGGTTTACTGCGGAAGCACGTAAGAAGTTATTTAATGCAAGATATTACCAGCAGAATAAACTAATTTGTTTCCAAGGAACAGCATTCCTGAATCGTATGCAACCATTGCCTACTGCTCGGAACGCTGCCTATAATATCCCTAAATTCTGTAATAAACATTAACATTATTTCTTATGGATTTATGCTCTGCTTACAAGATATATACACACACAGGAAAGTTACCAAATACGAACTAACATATCATTGTAAGTATATTGATCACAGGGAGTGTAGAAGAAGAAGTGCGATTGACTACTGTTGATGTCGTGTTACACACATGCCTTAGCTACCAGGTGCGTTCGGTTACCACGCCGCACATTATCCCGTTATAATACACGTAAAACAACATTTCCTAAATACACACTCTAAAAGATGACACATAATATTATCATGTCATCAATGTATTTTACGGATGTGACCAGTTTTAAGCTGGACGTATTCATTTATTAATATTTAATGAGTGTGCGAATAAGGGCAAGTGGCACCTCGTCATCCGGGGCCGAGGTAGTCGCGAATTCCACAGTGGAATGAGAATACAGGCAGGCCGGGACCTCCGCGCTGCTTACGCTCTCTTCTGTCACCATTTCTGTAATTGCTAGTTGACTTTGCGGCTCCGTAACCCTCTGTGTAGAACTGTAACCCAAGAAGGAATCAAACAGGGTAGGAAAGCGCCGAATGATCGTGAAACGTGAGTGTAGAGGCAGTGTGTTTTCCTTGGGATACCACATGAACAAGTGGATTTGAAATATTTGTTTTGGTATATTAATCTGGTGGTGGCAAGTGAACGAATCCTAACACGTGACGTTACGAAACATTTTCGCTCTGTGCTGTTCTGACTGTAGTGATACAACGGAGATAATATGTATTACAAAATCTAAAAGTGGTGTAATATATACGATCTTTACAATGTATCTGTGGCTCAGGCTACGCAACTAAGTACAGTTTACGTGATATTATTATTGAGTGGTGAAGCACTGTGAGTGCTCACCTAGTTGTGTTTACATTGTCTAATTATAGCTCCCATGCCCCCGTCTTTCCATCTGGCCAGTTAATGCAATGACTAATTTCTACCTTTTTTTTTTTATATAGTTTTATGTACTTGCCTCAACGATTTTCTCTTTTAGCACTATCCATTTGCAACTTTTTCAATGAGTGTGTGTATGAAAGGAAAAGTGAGAGAGAGGCAGAAAGGGCGAAAGAAAAACCGAGAGACAGAGCGAGATAAAGGCAAAAACTAAGACAGGAAGGGTGAGTCAAAAAGTGAGAGATAGTAAGTAAGAACGAAAGGCAGAGGGAGAGAAGCAAAGATCGAGAAAGACGGAAAGAGCGAGCGAGCGAGAAAGAGCAAATGAGAAAGAAAGAGTAGTGGCAAGAAAGATAGGCGGGGAAAGCGAGAGGGGAAGGAAGCGGAAGAACGAGAGCAAATAAGAGGCAGGAAGAGCGAGACACAGAAAGAGCGAAATAAAGCGAGAAACAGAGCTAGAGACACAGAAAAAAAATGAGTGAAATAAAGAGGAAGATAAATAAAAAAAGTAGAGACAACAAGAGCAAGAAAGTAAGAGGTAGAAAGAACGAGAGATAGGAGACAAATAAAGTTAGAGAGAGCGAGGTAGACAGAGAGAACGCGATAGATAGAGAGAGCCTGAGAGGATAGATAGAGCTTGAGAGAGGGAAGTGAGACTGAAAAAAACAGCAACAGCACTAATTGAAATTATATAATTTCAATCTAATATTATTTATAATATTAATAGCGCCGGGAGTAACGATACGTAGCACACACTAGTGATTATGTAGCTCCATATGTAAATTCATTTCAGTATAGATATATCCTCACATAATGCTCATATTTCTGATCATTGTCACTAGCGTAAGTTATCTTTCCCGCACCTATTTCTCGTCTTCTTACACGTGTTAATTATCTCTCATCCTCCCTTACCTGAGTAGAGTGCTAAAACGCCGTTGTTGGTGAAGTCTTCGTTGCCAAGTGCAAGGCTGGGCCTGCCTTGTCACTCACTCAGGCTCTGCCTACCTTTCTAAATTACCTGTATTCTGGTAACCCTTCAAAAAATGATAGAACCTCTTCCTTCTATGGATGGAATGTACAAAATAGGGACTGTTGTGCAAACGAAAGGTTCACGTTTTGCGCTATTGGAATTCTGATGGGTATAACTTAAAGTGAAATATACATACATGAACCTAACCTGTCTACGATCTAAATAAACATTCCTAGTCCTAACATACGCCTAAGGAACTTTGTATCAATTGTTAACTGATACAGTAGTGATAGGACATTAGTTGCTACGTTACTGCTCGTGTTAACTCATCTGCAAGCCATCTATCTCCCTGTAAATGCCCTTGAACAACGTAACGAAACTCTGGTAATTAACCGCTTATACCTTACCTATGTAAGCAAGCTTCAGATAACTACTACATCTGCGTTAACAACCACATGGTTATTCCTTCAATCACCTCAGTGATTGAAGGAATAACCAATCACCAAATTCTCTGACCTACATTAGCAAACTCGCCGCGCCCCGTCTCGCGATTAACTCCCAACTTTTTAGGCTATCGACGTGTGTTGACTACGTTCCCCATCTGAATTAATTGATAATTAAATTTATAAACGACAGATTCAGCCGTGACCTTGGAAAGTTCGTGTGATCAGTACAAAATACATAGACTAGGCACCACCTTCAAGCTATTTGTTGCTGTTGCTTTAGAACGCTTCTTGACGTTCTATTCACAGCCGTTGTTGACCTTTAAACTGTGGGTGGAAGATGCTGCCAAGTAAGTTTTTTGAGAGCACTCCACTTGTTGACCACCAGCACTGCGTATGAGTATTTCCTCACGTTCTTTTAGCTCAATTGCGTTTCAAGCTTCCATGCCCATTTCCTCTTGTTTTGTTTTATTTTATCTAGGAAAGGGTGACCTTTCCACTATGTCTATTTCCTCAGTATTGTGTATGTCTCCTCTGGTCCGTCTCTCCATTTGGATTGCTAGAGTACCTTTTACGTTTCTTCATACGTTTCTTCATAATATAATCCTCATATTTCGGTCACTAATCTTGATGCAAACCTCTCCATTAGGATTGCTAGAGTACTTTTTACGTTTCTTCATAATATAATCCTCATATTTCGGTCACTAATCTTGATGCAAACCTCGGGACATTTCCTTTCTTCTTATCCTCCTAAATTAACTTGCTAACGTAGGCTATGTATATTGTCTCAATGGCCTTTAATTTGTGTAGCACAAGCTATAAATAATGTGTGATGATGCTAGGGGCCAGATGCTAGGGGCTAGCCTCACCAAACTTTGCAGGGTGACAGATTAATGTAAGTGGAGGGTCATAGGGGACATCCCTCATGCCAATCCCCTCGATATCATATTCTAGCTTCACTAAATACTAGACTCCATCCTCACAAAGATTCATACAGTATACGAGTGAAGGAAGTGATGTCGTGCCCCAAGAGACCCCGCTTGCTACATCTCTGCTTTCCGATATCTCCTATCTGACTATGACCTGTTTCCTGTCAACTACATTAGTGTTTCAGCTTGATCAGATTGCTGTTCTGATAAAGCCATTATCAGAGCACACACATCCATTCTGGTGTGTGTACTCGCCTATGATACAGACATGTGGGACGCTTCTTTATTTTGATACAGACTAATGGGAAGCTGCACTTTTTCGCTAATTGGACAGAGGCAAATTGTGTTTGCCTCCGTCCAAAATAGCTTTACTATTTGGATATAAGTTGTTGCGATTCAGTTATTTTGATAATATAAAATCTGATGTAACTAAATATGTTCGAGCGGTACAGTGACAGTTTGCTATCCTGTCCAAATTTTTAGGAGCATGTGGCTGGATTATATGAAGGGTCAGTTAGGTTAGTTTTAGTTATAATAAGTTAGGCTGGTATTTAGTTCTCACACACATAAGAATTGTAGTCAGACATACTAATAATATAAACTGTTTACTATTGAATGACAAATTAGAGCCAAAATTTCGTGCAAATTGAAGATATACACGCAAAATTTATACAAATAAATAAGTCATGTTAATGAGGGAAAGAATTCTTCAGTATATTTCGAAGCTTCTTTTGTATGTAAAAACATATTTAATAAATAAAGGAGTTCAGTAAATTGAATGTCTATTAATTTTGATTACAAAATATGACCACACCCTACAGTTTGTACTGTATAAAGACATTTAATAAATTAAACTTCCTTATTTGTACAAATAAGTTTGAATGTACATAAGGCACTTGGAAATGATGAATTCATTTTCAAAATTTCAGTTTGTTTCACAAACCAACTTAAATTTGTTTGTCCTAATGGCGAACGCCAGCCCTGTGATCGTTGGTCGGGTGTTGTGTAATATTCAAGTGTTCAAATGTTGGGAAGTATGTTCATATATTTAGGAAGTACGTCACCCCCACTTTAAACACCAGATTTATCAACATTTGGATGGGTTTTACTGTGCTGGATTGATCTTAAGACATTATTCGCTGCAGTCTGAGATCATTCTGGCTCAGCCGGACCCTCCTTCACTCCCAACGACCACAGAGTACTAATCAACTGAACACAGTGTACTGTTTCACTACAGTAGGCTTCACCTTGAGAACTTAGAGATGATCGCCATTGTGAAAATTACAACCCATTTTCCATCCCAAGCTATAATTACTGATTTTTATATATTTTAATAAGTCAATGTTTGACTTAAACGTTGTGAGCCTGACTGACCTTTGGATTGATGATAGGCTGAAAACTGAAGCTTCAGTTGAATTATTAGTTCACTTCGATTTAGATAGTGTTCAAGTTCAAGAGAGAACTTTATAAACACCTCCAAAGGATACCTGATCAACCAGGCTGTGATTCATACGTCAGGCTGCGAGCAGGCGCGTCCAACAGCCTGGTTGACCAGTCCAGCAACGAGGAGGCCTGGTCGAGGACCGGGCCGCGGGGACGTTGAGCCCCGAAATCATCACCAGGTAACCGCAAGGTATGTGTTTACACAGTTGATGCTAGGGTCGTTATGCAACTTAAGTGACTGTAACAATTATAATTATAGAGTTTGTAATATTATTCATTGGTTTATGTCAGGTCTACGTTTTTGGTTTTCCTTTAATTCAGACATTTGACTACGCCAGAGGTTGCCGGTCACAAAGGAAAATTAGGCTATTAATTAAATTTGTTTCAAGTAACCGCTAATTATGCAGCGACAATCTATCATTTCCGTTCAGTTTGTCAAGCACTATACAGTAGTAGCAAACTTTGTAACGGACTTATTTCTTGAGAGATTGACAAAATCTTCATCAACCAATTATTATATAATTCTATTTTTTTAATATCAACGCATTTCAAAAGTAAACAGTGGTCTTGATTTTGTATGTTAAAAAGGCTTTTATAGAAAAGCTTAGGCTAGGTAAGGTTTGGTTTAATACACATGCTTAAGTTAGGTAAGATTATTTAGTTCGGTTGATTGTTTAGTTGGGATAACTATGTATTAGTATAAACTATAACTAACCACTAGTTGGAATTATGAATATTTTATACTTTTGCCAACTTGATTAAGTTCAACATCATGATTCAAGACGAGTTTCGTTCACTATGTTTATGCTGTAAACTCTCTGAATTCATCCTACCCAAACCACGTATACTTAACCTTACTTATTTTTTACTTTGTATGTA